CCCGGGTCAACATATAGGATACTTTTTGCTGCGAGAAAATATCTCATCTCTGAGAAATCTTTACTAAATGTTAAAACGTTTCTAGGGATGTTCGTTCGACGTTCGTAGTGCGAGTCGCTCCCCCCCAACGTGTGTTCACCTTGTCGTGGTGGGGGGGCTCAGTAGTGCCCGGCAATACAGCCGGGCGCGAAGCCAAGAAACGCACAGGGAGGCGGCCCTCTTCGGAGGGCGGTGTACCGTGCGGGTTGCTCCTGGTATTCCTCTGATAGCAGAGTGGACCTTGGAGCAACCTCGTGGTTGTTGTGGTCTGCTTCAGCAGACCTGCCGTCGGGACGTCGTAGTTGAATGCGTAAGCTATCCTGTGACGCCCCATTAAGACGGGGAAAGGTTTTGTTGGGTTTTAGTGTGTAGTACTGGCTTCGCCGGTGAGTCCCACACTTCGTGCATAAATGCAGTTCCCAACGCAAAAATGTGCGAGTCGCTAGTTACTTAATAAAAGTATGCACTTGGACCATATTAGGTATTATTTGATTAGTACTCGAATGGCTATTTAGTACAATATATGTACTCGTACATAATAGTAGGGGAGCCCAAGAGGGGATTTTCTGTAGTTACTCGAGCGCGGCAGATTAATATACAGGGGGATACCTTGTACCCGGTTAAGTACCTCCACAAAACATGAGGCCCATATATAAGGCCGCCCGTGAAGGATACAGGATCAGATTAGTAAAAAAAAATTGACCACCAGAAATTCTCGAGCGCGTCAGATTAAGGTAGGGTGAGTTAATTACATCCTAAAAAGTGTATATTCCACTAATCTGACAATTTGAGAGTGACGTAAAAAAAGGGGAGGGCAACAAAGTTGTAAAAAAAAACGTCATCTCGACATTCTCGAGCGTAGCTAAATTTTTTTTTATTTTGAAGGAAATAATGCAAGAATAATGAAAAATATATAATCTGACGATTTCCGCAAGCCGAAATAACAAAAATTCGTCGATAAAGTTAAATGCGTGCAGCTGCGTGACGCCTACATTTCCTTCTCCGCGTTTCTATTCCTCTCTCACTCTTTCTCTATCTATTACTCTGTCACTCCGTCCCCACTCTGGTTTCTGCCGCCATGACACCATCACAGCTGATCATAAAGAGTCTAGGGGTGTGCAAACATCGTTCGAATCGAATCAAATATCAATATTCGATTCGAAAATCGAAAAATTTCGAATAATTCGTAAAAATTTCGAATAATTCGAAAGTTTTCGAATAATTCGCGAATTAATGAAATATCTCTGGATCTTCAATTGTATCCATTTAAATTCCTTCAAATCGTGTGTCAAAATAGTCTACTTACGAATAATATACTTTTCGTTTAAAAATAAATTACCCAGAGAAAACAATTGCTCATTTTTTAAATTTGCAATATATGTTCGAATTATTCAAAAATTTTCGAATTATTCGGGAACTTTCGAATAATTCGAATTTTCGAATTATTCGATTCGAGTTTCGAATTGAATATTAATATTCGATTCGGAACGAATAATTCGTAAGTTCGAATTATTCGCACACCCTGTTGTATTAGTTTATCAACCGACTTCAAAAAGGAGGAGGTTCTCAATTCGACTGTATGTTTTTTTTTATTTTTTTTTTATGTTTGTTACCTCAGAACTAAAAAATATAATTCTAAATATATTCTATATATATATACTATACATATATAGAATTAGCGGGAAGTTGCAGGTATGGCCTTTAAGGTGAACCGTTTTTCTAATTTTTTTTGTCAGATCAGGCGAATCCCTCTAGATAATCGTCAGATTATGAGACAGTACGTTTAGAACATAAAGATGAACCATATATATCTTAATCTGACGCGCTTGAGTATTTCAAAATGGCGATTTTTTTTTGCACATTATGAAAATGGCCGCGAGTTTGCGTCCCATCGAAATCGTCAGATTAGTGAATGAGAGCTTTTTTTTGGTGCACTTAACACTCCCTTAGAAAATCTGACGCGCTCGATTAATTTTTTTTTTTTCATTTTCAACCCTTAAATACAACCACCCGCATCATGCAAACGATCAGATTAACATACGTACATTATTAAAAATACGTAGGGCATTTATGCTATCAATATCTGACGCGCTCGAGGATGTCTATGCAACAGTTTCTTTTTACATATTTAAAAATCTATAGCCGCTTCCCCCACCGATGTAAAGGTATATATCATATAACATTTTTTTCTTCTTATCATCTAAGCTTTGCATCCCAATAGGTCTCTACGACGCTCGAGTAAATCCCCATTTAGCATCGTGGGCTCCCCTACCATAAGTTACCAAAAAAAATCAAATTCAAACTATGTATTAAAGAAATATGTTTATTCAATTAAAATTTAAATAAGAATGCTACACTTATCTTTAACTTTGTTTTATACAATTGATATAGAAATTTAAGCAAGTATGTTAATAGTACTAAAAGTAGTATTTATGCAATACCTAGAAATGAGATTGTTTCCGGCCATAACGCGTGCGGCATATGAAATAAAATCTTTTATAAATGTCGTACCGTAAATTACCCTTAATGTAATAGCTGTATTATATTGAATTAATATTAAAAATATATAGTTAACAAAATTATTTAATAATTATAATATAGTTAACATCCGGCAACCCGCATTTGGCTATCGTGGTGGACTATGGCCTGATCCCTCTCGTATTGTATGCGCAGCAGTGGGACGTTAAAAAGCGTTGAATACGAATATAGTTAAAAATTAAAAAAACAACACGCTTCTCGCCATTAACGTAAAAATTATAAAACCTTTATAGTCAAATTGTCATTAAAACACCACAAATAGGATGATCCTAAAAAGTTTACTCATTATAATGAAGTTCAACTTTCTAACTTTTGCTTTAACATCACATCCACTCTATATCCACTCTATATATTATTATTATTCGAATGTTATTTATATGGGATACACTTTATATACACCAAAATTTATTACATTTCATTTTTTAACTTTTTACTCTTCAAAATTCTAAAAGGGCTAATAATATTTGTTTGATTATTTAATTGCTTAATCTTTACAGCCAGTACCGTCTTTACCATAAGGGCACTCGGGGCACCGGCCCAGGGCTCCCAGCCTCACGGGGGCTCCGCAAAGACAAAATATTACTTTACATGGAACAGAGAGAAGCTTGATTTTTTGAATATTATTACTATGAACTATCGATTTTTTTGATTATAAATATAAAATCAAACTAGATATCATAATATTTTCGTAACACTTCACAAAGAAAATAAAAAAAAATAAACTATAGTAAAACTAAACACTGACTATTGTTAAATTAAATGGACAATTCAAAAGTGCTTGTATAAATCTAATTCAATAAAGTTAATTTTTATTAACATTTTTTACAGGGCCCCAAAATTTATGTGTGCCCAAGGGCCCCAACGTGGCTTAAGATGGCCCTGTTTACAGCTAGCCCTAATCAATAGTAATCATGCATTATTCATAGTATATGAATGAACGTGACAATTAGTATCGTCGTAACATATTGATATAACTATCACTTTCATAATACTAACTTGCGCCTTTTACTTCATTTAGTTTCTGGGTCTAAAAATGATATCTAATTTTATGTGTTAATGAAGATTATTTCCAAAACCGATTTTAATATTTTTAATATCGAATATAATCGAATAGGTGCTTTTTTTTTCGGGACATTAACACAGCACCATCTGCGAGGCTTGTGTTATGGATACCAGATAGTTGATACACTACACATATATAACTTTAAATTCATACATATTATAAATATAAACACCCATGACTGGAGTACAAGCATTTGTGCTCATCACATAAATGAATGCCCCCAGCGGGACTCGAACCCGCGACCGCTGGCACAGCAAGTAGGGTCACTACAAACTGAGCCAAACGTGTCGTCGAATATTGTGCTTAATAAATATAATCGAATATCGAATAGGGGCATCCTTTTTTTATTATTTAAATATTTTAAATTATTTTGTTAATACTTTTAGGGTGGTTGCCTAAGGGAAGCTAGTAGATACCTATAATTAAAATACGTTAATATTAATAATATAATTAAATTATTTTTATTCAAATGCGAAAATTTCAAAGCATATTTTCCTACAATAATACTATTATAAAATATACAATTTTACTGTACCATACAAAATACTACCATCAACGAATAAAACGTTTTTATAGTCATCATAATATTTGATACCAGTTGTATGTTCAGATTACCTTGGTGATCTGTAAAGTGTGTTAATGATGTACAATTTCACAAGCGAGTAGGTTATCCAATCACGGCTGCTCTTGCGAAATACCTGTTCTGTGCGAGATGGATATTAATTTTTTTAATAGAGTATAATTTACAATTCTTACTAATACAATAAATGAGAAAGTAGATTTGTCAACTTTACCTGCTTTCGAGTAGCAATGAACCCGTTGACGTGGAGTTTTGCAAAGATATACATAGTTAAGTTTTGGCCGATACATAGTGAGAGCGCGTCGAGTATACTTTTTAGTTTTTATTCTTCCTTTATTAGTATAAAGCTAAAGAAATAGTTTTTAATAATATTATTTAACTTCAGATTATAATTCAAATTATTACACAAATACATTTTAGATCTATTTGACCTAATTCAATCATGTAAATTCCTTGAAAAGATATCTCAGTAAAACTCATTAAAATAAATACATAGAAGCCTAAAAGAGGCTTTTATTCTGTTTTAAGCAATAATTAGGCAATTGTAAACATGAATTTACTGTTTCAAAAGCGGCTGTAATTTTTGCTGTAGTATTTTTGTTTCTACATTTAATTAGTCTTGACGTTGCGAAAATCGCAATGGTAGAATATTTGATACACATACATAATATATGTACATATCTGATTAGTTATTATATTATTTGTATAATATAAACAAAATATTGTGTAAAACATGCCCCATATTACAAAAGCTAATAAATGTTAAATTCGTTGTTATAGTCACGGCGACCAATGGAGGCGATTCCGCTCAAAAGTCCAAAGACCTATTCTTCAACCGCAGACTGTGAAGAAATATGTAGCGCCCATCGAGCTGGTCACAGAAGATTTCATCAAATACATGGAAAATGCACGGGATGAAAACGGGGATCTCCCTCATGAATTTGATAATGACATTCATAGATGGTCTTTAGAATGTAAGTAGAAGAAAGTAGTATATAGAGTTAGTTGTATGTTTTCTTCTGACTGGACTCTAGGACGCACCAGCTTTTAAAGTTATTGAAAAAACAGATTATATTTACACTGTAATGTTTTAGTGAAAAATTATTTGCATTTATTACTTGAATTGTTATTTCCGGAAAAACTAGATTTTGGTAGTCTCTCCTATCCCCACTATTGCCCAGTAGACGAAAGACAAAGAAAGATGTTGGGTACATTATTTTATATGATGAGTATAAAAAAAATAGATCTGCATATAAAATATGATGAAATATAATAAATATTTACCATTTATTGATTTAAATCAAACTTATGATTCAATGCAAAATTATAGTTATGTAATTGAGTCACGTTTTGTAAGATCATAAGCTTCGTATTCAGCTGTAAATACCCATGAGCCAGAGAGTATTGTTCTTTTGTCTTTACTTATATTTCGAGATAATCGAAATAGATACTCGTATGTATACTTACTATGATAAAAAAGTAATACCTAAGTTATGCCTTAGTTAATTATTATTTTTAAGATTACACGATGTTTCTGAATAGAAATTATTTAATACTACAAAGTCTATTTCGATGTTATTATCTTTCAAAAAACTTATATAGCGACTACGTAAGTTGCGGTAAATATTCACACGTAAAATCCGTTTGAATACAATTAGGGAACGTGTGACGGGCATTGCTCCATACTAAGAAAGTCATGAGTTCGAATCTCGTATAGGGAAATATTGAGAAATCTTTGTATATTCAATGCCAAGCAAAGCTTTAAGTCAGTGTGGTCAACCAATTAATTTTATGTTCAATACCGAGCACCATGCGACCATTAAGCGACTGTGATCATAAAAGAAAGAGTCGCTATGACCATGGTTTTACTTGCGGTCTCCTAGTGGTTTAGGCTAAATATTTTCTTAATACTTACCCTCGCTTCATCCGGGCACGTCTCTAGATGCATTAAAGTAGCTACATTCTACTCCAGGTCATAGACTTTGTACGGAATTTCATCCGAACATACAAACAAACTTTTATATTTATAATACAATTCCGATTATATAGGTATCGGTCGCGTAGCTCTCGACGTTCGACTCGGCTGCCTCTCTCCCAACGCGACAAGCCCCGAGCCGCAACGCATCATCGACGCAGCCAAGTTCGCGCTCCGTAACGTAGCTGTATTGGAACTTAAGGCGCCATATTGGAGATACTTCCCTACACCGCTGTGGACTAAATACGTTAACAATATGAACTTTTTTGTTGAGTAAGTTATGTGCATAGATAATTTTGATTTTCAATTGATATAAGATATTGTGTGTATATAGGCAGTGGTAGCCCAGTGGTAGCGCGCTCGCTTGGGAAACCGAATGGAGCGAGTTCAAATCCCGGGTCTTGCACCTCTGATATTTTTATGTGCGAATCATTTCCAACACGATTATCACTTGTCTTAACGGTGAAGGAAAACATCGTGAGGAAACCTGCATGTCTGAGAAAACCTAGCAAGTTTTCGAAAGATATGTGAAGTCCGCCAACCCGCACTTGACCAGCGTGGTGGACTATGGCCCCCTCGTATTGAAGGGAGGCCCGAGCCCAGCAGTGGGATGTTAAAAAGGGCTTGTTCAAAAGTCGATACGATTTTAAATGTTTTAGCCCATCATTAATCAAATCGGAGATAAGATATCAACATTAATATTTTAAATATATTTTTTTGCATAAGACTACCTACGTGTATAAAAGATGTAATTAAGGTTTGTTTGCAATAAATACATTCCACAAAATGCGATTGTGCTAATGAAAAGAATGTAGGCGCGATAATGTACGATGTACGTAATTGTGAATGCAACCCTGCATATTTACTTAATTACAATACCAAACATTGCTAATTCCAATTCAAAGAAACTTAGTGCTTAAAAGACTTATAAGTAGATTTATTTTCTACTAATATAATTTAGGACCTATTAATATTTATTCATTATCAATTTCAGATTATGCTCCAAATATATAAATGAGGCTCTAGAACGATTGAAAACAAAGGAAGTCACATCCGACAACGACCTCTCTTTACTAGAAAGAGTACTTCAAAGTGAAGGAGATCCAAAAATTGCGACCATAATGGCGCTTGATCTCATACTTGTTGGGATCGATACGGTAATATCAGGTTTTAATATGTTGTTTACCGTTATACAAACTGTAGGAAAGTAAAACTACATAATTTATAGATCCTGATTGCAATGTTCACTTTAACGATATTGGTTTAATGAATTATACTTTAGAAAATTTTAAAAGAAAAACTTCTTCTAAAAGATTTATAATTTTAATCCATATCTTATATTAATGTTTCTATGTTTTGCTAATATAAGTATTGCCTCGGTGGTGTAGTGGCTATATACGGCTGCACACCCGGAGGTCCTGGGTTCGAGTCCCCGGTCGGGCCAAGTTTACTTATTGAGTCTTTCTGTATAGTAAGTCTTAGCAACAGCCCGCAGTTGGGAAGTTGGTGGTGTTTCACCCCCGTGCCTCGGAGAGCACGTAAAACCGCCGGTCCTACGCCTTAACTCTCACCGGTCGTGTCGAGCAGTCGTCCCACCGGAGTATGAGTGACAAAATAGAGAGTGCTCGTTGTGTCTGCGCGTACACTTGTGCACTATAATATCTCCTGCGCAGTTGGCTAATTTCAATGAGATTGAGGCCGCCGTAGTAGGAATCGGCTAGGACAACATCATCACATTATAAGTGTTTTTGTTTTGTTAAATATAAGTAATAGAATAAAAAAGTAGAGACTCTTTTACTGTATAAATTGTTTGTTTGTGGAAACTTTATTGGTGTATTTATTATTATTATTGCTATTTGTTGTTTGTGTTGTAACACTGTATGTTTCCATAATGATATATAAAAAAAATAAAAAAACAAAAATATCCTCATGTAACATTCAATTAATTAAACAAATGGCCGTTCAAATATTATTTTACTTTGTGTATAAAATACCGGTGTACTTATGTTCCTAATTTTTATTACGTTACATACATTGCATACATTACGTACATTGAGTCACCTGGCCTGTTGTCGAGTAGTCGTTTTTTTTTAATTTTTCAATAAAACCAGGTCTGGGACACGACAACGTATGCCTTGCGGGTCCATTAATTCTTATAATAAGTGACCACTATTATTTACATTAATTTGTAGATTTCGATGGCGGTATGCTCTATATTATACCAAGCGGCGACAAGGATCAAGCAGCAGGAGAAAATGGCAGAAGAAATTAAACGGGTGCTCCCGGACGCGAGCAAACCTTTGACTTACGCTGATTTGGACAAACTGCATTATACTAAGGCCTTTGTTAGAGAAGTATTTAGGTAAATATCTCAATATTTTGCTAATATATGTATGGATAAATGCACGCAAAAATTATTGAACGAATTTTGATGAAATTTACAGTAATGTAGCTTATATATTATATATAATATGGTATGTAACTTATATATATAATACATAAATGAACTATATGGGCGAAGCCGCAGTAATAATATTTTTATGATGTAAAATGGGATGTGTACCATATTCTTATATCATTTACGGCTTCACATCTTGGGTTCAATTCCCGGTCGGCCCAGGTTTAGTTATTGAGTCTTTCTGTTAAGAAAATCCCAGTAACAACCTAGAGTTGGGATCTTGATGTTGTTTCATCACCGTGCTTCGGAGAGCACGTAAAGCCGTCGGTCCTGCGCCTAACCGTGACTGTCGAATCATCTTCTGATCTGAAAACGGCCTTTACTTTCGAATATTCTTTATATTGCATTAATCTTCAAGAAAATGGCAGAACTGGAGTCACGGTATTATAGTTGTATTGTTGTTATAAAATTTTATTTGGTTTTAGAATGTATTCAACTGTAATTGGCAATGGAAGGACCTTGCAAGAAGATGATGTCATTTGCGGTTATCATGTACCAAAAGGGGTAAGTAGTCAGCAGTAAAACCTACTAAAATATTTTTTTTCAGTCTTTAATGTGCCACGAATAAATGTAAAGCTTATTAGTACCATATCATAACAACAAATGTACTGTTTTCTGTAGTGTTTAAAATTTAATAAAAAAAATTGAATTTATTCGTATTATCTTATTTTAAAAAAATGATCGTTTTTATGTTTTGTGTTTTCTAAAGAGATAACCAGACATACAGATAAAAGTCTTTAAAAAATCATGGTACATATAAAAATAATAAAAAAATACATATATTAAATATATATAACACTAATTTTTAATCAATTCAGAAACTTTTATATACAAACCACTATTCTAATGAGTCCTACAGTATTAATATCAATATACATATATCCTAATAAAAACAAAAACTAACCCATATTATGACAAGTCTTTAGCTATATACGAGTACTACTTCAATTCAATTTAATTCTCCTGTTAATAGTTTCAAAGTGTGTCTCTATATTCTTTATATCACAAAGCATACATTTAAACTTCAGGTACAGGTGGTATTCCCGACGATAGTGACAGGTAATATGGAACAGTTCGTGTCTAACCCTGACGAGTTTAGACCCGAGCGGTGGCTAGAGAGCGACGGTCGGCTCCACTCCTTTGCCTCCTTGCCGTATGGTTTCGGTGCGAGGATATGTTTGGGACGTCGTTTTGCTGATTTGGAAATCCAAGTGCTCTTAGCAAAGGTAATAGAACTACTATTATATATATTAGAATTTTTTAGATTTACGCGAATATTTGACATTTTAAATAAAACTATCTTTTCGAATTTTTTCGCGGATTTATTTTGATTTTTGGTTTTCGACGTTTCGAATGTTTTACAGCAATAATGGTTACGGGAAACACTGAATGACTGCGTATGTTTATGTGTGTATGTTTGGTACTCCTTGATACCTAAAAGGCTGGTTTGATTATGATCTGTTGTAAGACATAGGCTATTATCGTTAATACTAAGCGAGGGTAAGTCGCAAGAATATTTTTTTAATTACGAGACAAAATATATTGATCTATAAATAAATGAAAATGTTGGGACATTAACACAGCACCATCTCGTTCCATGGTAAACCACGAGGCTTTTATTATGGATAACAGATAGTTGATACATTACATATATATATAACTTTAAGTACATACATATATATATATTATAAATATAAGCACACATGCCTGGAGCATAAATATTCGTGTTCATCACAACAAATTAATGCCCCCAGCGGGACTCGAACCCGCGACCGCTGTACACAGCAAGTACACTGCAAACTGAGCCAAACGTGTCGTCAAGATCATCTATGATCAAACATCATCAAAATTACATATAATAATTACTTTTTCCGAAATATCGCAATGAGCTTGTAATATTTTATTTATTTATATAATATCACCTTTATTAAGGCATAAATCATTAATTTAATAAAGTAGCTTGGTTTAAAACAAACATAGATATCGCCTAATGTAAATGCAACAATTATGTATTGTATCAAATAAGCGATGACAGAGTACTATCGAAAACAGCTGGATGGATTATCTTATTTAGTACACAGACAAACTTTCACTTAGAGGAACACATAGGCTACTAAGGGCAACTCACTGAGGCACTAGGGACCTATCCGAGAAAAGCGCGGGTAATTCGCTTGTACGTAGCACTTAGAATCATATTATAATTTTAATGATATAATAAACATATAAATATAGACCTGTGTCTGAAATAAAGTATAAAAAAATCATTCACATATTTGTTTGTCCACAGTTGCTTCGAAGATATCGCTTGGAGTACCACCACGAACCGCTCGAGTACGCCGTTACGTTTATGTACGCGCCCGACGGACCCCTGCGCTTGCGCATGCTTGAACGATAGTTGTTATATTAATATATAATACATATACTAATTAACATATTAATTATATTTCTTCCTTTAACTTCACAACATATTTGGATTTTCTTTTATATATATGGTGTTATTGTATTATACCATTGGCTTCGTTAAGTGACGATAATAGCTGTCTTTGGGTCTATTAGACCGATTCCAATGAAAACCTGTTTCAGTTACTTTTGAAAATGTACGATCAAACCAACTCACAGCAAATATTTTTAAAATTATTGCTTGAGGATCGGAGTGGCTTTAAGATTTATGTATATTTGCAAAAATGGTTACCTATTCGTAGATATATAAAATTATTGTTTACTGAAAATTAAAGTTTTTTTTTAATTAATCATTTTTCATTTAATGGATTATTATTCGTAAACTACCTAATAATACCTACTTATTTGAATTCTTTATAAATTTTTGTTTTTAATGTAATTTTGTCACTATTTGCCTTGTGGAGTAAACAGGGTGAATGTAGAGCTATGTCGTTTTTATTGATTAAAATAATTTGCTAAATAGTCCTAAGAATATGCATAAAATTGCGTGTTTATTATTAACTAGCGGCTCACCCTCGCTTCGCTCGGGTTCGCCTCTAGAAAAACACTAATAGAAATCTATTAGTTCCCACGGGAACCGCTCATTTTTCCCGGATGAAAAGTAACCTGTTGTTTGACCGGCAATATAAGGTATCAGAATGTTAAATTTTACTAAATTAGGTGCATAAGTTGTATAAGTTATAATAGTTTTTTAACGATCCCACGGAAACCATTTAATTTTCCGGGATAAGAAATATCTAAGACGCTGTCCGGGGATATAAGGTACCACCATGCAAAATTTCATTTAAATCGGTCTAATAGATTCGGAGATTAGCCCGTACAAACAGACAAACAGACAGAGAAACAAAAAAATTGAAAAAAATCTGGATTTGTTCTATTTGTCTTCTTACATCCCCCTGACTCGCGATGGCTTATTATTAGCGTATTTCATGTATAACTTTAGTGTTTCTATACCGATTTCTATGATTCTTTTTTATGGAATAGTTAATAATGTTAACTTTTTTAATTAGGGATGACTGAGAGTGTTATAATCGTAAGAGTAGACAAATATAAATCAGAAAGCTTCGAACTGCTGAGCTATCGGGAGTTACACGTGTTATTGTGCACATACGTACGTTATTGTACATATGCTGTCGTGGGATATTTTTTATATAATTTTAAGGAGAACATTTCCGTCATACATGATTTCTATGTAGCTTTAACCATTAAGGTTGCACACGCGACGGAAGCTTAAAAAATGGAGTAACTTCTCCCGTTTTCCCAACATTTCCCTTCACTGCTCTGCTCCTATTGATGGTAGCGTGATGAAAAGTATACTTTAACCAGCTCAGGAGTATGAAAAATAATTGTACCAAGTTTCGTTAAAATCCGTCGAGTAGTTTTTGTTTCTATAACGGTTATACAGACAGACAGACAAAAATTTTACTGATTGCATTTTTGGCATCAGTATCGATCCCTAATCACCCCCTGATAGTTATTTTGGAAATATATTTCATGTACAGAATTGACCTCTCTACAGATTTATTATAAGTATAGATTAAAGGGAATGCAAAATACTGCGAGCTTTCTGACACCACCAACATATAATCATAGAAAACTATAATTTATTCAAAACAATTATTTTGTTAATTGATTCAAAACGTGCCAGTAGAGCACAGATTACTTCGTCAATATCACGTAGAGAGTCGAAGATGCGAAAGGGATTGGTCTGTTAAATAACATGTAAATAATTAAACTACATATTACATTTTCCGTCCATTGTCAACGAAATGCTAACTTAGCTTGGTGCTATGAAGGTTATTACAATACGAAATTATTTTACTTCGGTTAATATTATATAATAATATACTTAAACACATTTAAAGTTAAAAATTGTTTTCTGATAGCCGTTTATTTTTCTCGATATCATATGCTAGTGGCACCATTTCCTATATTGCGTGAAGCTTGAATCGAGCCCGTGACCTATATAATAGGCAAGTAAAATCAATTATTATTAAAACAACCATGCCACAAAAATAAATAATAAATAAATATGTTGGGACATTAACACACAGCACCATCTAGTTCCATAGTAAGCTACGAGGCTTCTGTAATGGATATCAGATAGTTGATACACTATACATATATAACTTTAAATACATATAAAACATAAATATAAACGCCCATGACCGAAGTACAAAAGTACAAACCTTCGTACTCATCACACAAATTAATGCCCCCAGCGGGACTCGAACCCGCGACCACTGGCACAGCAAGTAGGGTCATTACAAACTGAGCCAAACGTGTCGATCAAACTTAGGATAGTTGTTAAAATGAAGTGTATTTTTTATGTCAATTTATTCGTATTTTAATATTAAACAATATTAGGATATAAATTATAAAGATTTTTTATGGTAAAAAAATAAATCTGTACCAAATTTATAGGAGTTTTATTTCACTTTATATAATACTTTATGTTTAGTATGTATTTTATTTTATGTATCGTATGTTTTATTAAAATGTTTTTCTTTTTATTATTGAGAGTTTTTAATTAGATTATAGCACACCGTACAGATGTGTTTTATAGAATCATTTACAGTAAACACCAGTAACAAATAAATAAAAAATAAAAAATGTAGGAGAGACTGCTCAATCTTAAAAATGCACACGAGATGTCAAATTGCAATATAATAGAGCATCAGCGTGAAAAAGTTGTGTTTTGTTTTGCGAATTCAACTTTCATTAGTTAAATTAACCCTTTCCAAAAAATTATTAAATTAAGTATTAGATATGTATATTGGGGGTTAATTGCATTTTTGCATATAAACCTGTCAAGTACTGAGTTTACCTCAGTCAGTAAGAATGTAAATTAATTGTTACTTATGAGTTGTTAGATACTGTTATATTGAGCCAAACATCGTAAATAAAAATCTTATATTTAGACCAGCGACTTCCTCGAGCCTATCTATTACTCAAGGCAGTGATAGCGCAGTGGTAACATACTCTCTTGGGAAATCGAGTGAAGCGGGTTTAAATTTCAAATATGATTACCACTTGTTTTAGAGTAAGGGAAAACATGACCTGACCTCCCGTATTGACCGGTGCCCGACAGTGGGAGGTAAAAAAGGACTGAATATATGTATTACTCAAAATCATAGCAAAGTATCTGAGTGCTAAATTTTATCCAATACCGTCCAGCCATTTTAACGTAAAGAGTAAAAAACAAAACTTGCAGTTTTGATAGAAATCCGAAATCAGAGAAAAAAAAGGATAAAATGAATCCAGTTAGAATTATTTCACAAAACAAGCATTTAAAAATTGCAACATGAATAAAACGTTCAGATTTAGCAACATTGACTAGATTGAAATGAGCGTTTATCTTAATGGTCGCAAGTATTTGCACTAACGCAATATCCGATACGAGGTTAAGAAAACAGATATCTATGTTCTTAGGAATTGAATAATTAGAGTCAAAACTAATATTTTACTTAAATTATCTCAATATTTAAAAAAAAACTTTGCAGTAGTAATGCTTAAATGACTTTGTAGTGCCTATAATGCCTCTTTCATGTTCCCGTACACCTTGAGCGTAGAAAAGAAAGCCGAATTTAACATGTTCTTTTTAATAATTATTAAGACTTTTAGATGAGTGGTTTATATTTTATTCATTACCTATAGGCGTTGCACGAGGTTTTGCCCGCGTAGTTTATTTTTGTGTAATTTCTTTGCTAATAATCTCATGGTGTAATGCTACGTCACGTATCACCTATAAACTAAAAAAAACTTTTGAAATATGAATGATGGTTAATGAGAATGACGAGTTCAAATAACCTAACTCTTCAGCTTTATATGTACATATATTAAGGTTATCTGTGTTTTCGAACTGTCTCTACCACTTAGCTGGAAGAGATCTCTACGAGACTACTTAGTTACGCTTAATTTTTCAAATATTTATCCTGTGCTGCACCAGTGTTGTACCAGATATTGAATTATTATACCGTCGCTATATGGCTATATCATTTAATGGTAGACGTATGGAAAGTCAAAATCGTTCTTGCTAAGAGAATACGCCTACTATATATAGAGATAAAGCTTTAAGTAATAATTTATTTCTGTCACGTCTTGTTTGGATAGAGAGGTTGTAGCGATACTGTGTGGATGATCCTAAGTATTTGAACAGCCATACCCACGTTTGTTTAACAAAAAAATGTTTGACCTTCACAAATAATAGTTTCGTAGATTACGCAAGTGGTTTAACGTACCTACTAAAATAGGTTTAATTACTTAAGAGCTTAAACCGGTTTTAATGCCATTTTCTAAGTTTAGCATTATTTTTTATTCTCTAGAGACCTAAACCCTTCTCTTTACTATAATGAATGGAAGTCTGCCCGATTTGTTGACATTTATGATTACTGTTCCACATCCTTGGGTAGTAGCATGATGATATTATATTATAGCCTATAGCCTTCCTCAATACAAGGGCTATCTCTAATGCATAAAAAATATCAAATCGGATTAGTAGTTCATGAGATTCACGTTCAAACAAACAAACAAACTCCGATTCTTTATAATATTAGTATAAATTTCCATTACTTTAATTATATATTATTTGAGGTGAAAGTAAAAGAAGTTTTGTTTTGGTTACTTTTAAATACGTTACTTTTATCTTAAATGTAACCTGGAAAAGTTGGAATATTTAAGAAGGAATAAATAGCATTACAAACTACAATAGATACTTACATATTATGTATATGCGGTGGTTTCAATACAAACTTCGCTCAAGATCAATGGCGTTCAGTCACCTTTCACCTTTGACTCATAGAAAAATGTACTTTCTCGTTGTAGATAGGAACATTGTTTATTTTTTATTTTTGCATAAGTACGTTATACCTACTTTATACAGAATCAGTATACTAGTTTTACAAGCGTAGGACCTCCCTTGGACAAAAATAT